TCTAACGCAAACGCACACCGCTTGCGTTTGCTTCTATGCGCAATACTAAAACTCTCCAGTAGGGTACAATCCCATACCGGCTGCAGCACTACATTGGGACAGTGAAGAGTGTTGTTTGCATTCGGAAACGACATTTCGAGAGCCATGATCGCGAGCAGTTCCGCCATGCCCGCTGAGCAGGAGAATCGGGGGACCCTCACTAGAGCGCTTCCGATTTCCGCCGCGGGAGGGCGAGCGTCGAGCTGGAGACGCGAATAGGAGTGGCAAAGGGAAAAGAAACGGCAATACGACCAGCGGCAGCGTGCTGCGACCGGCGGCGGCATTCCGTATAGTGCAGTAGGCAATCGTTGCAGATGATACCACAGCTTCGCTGACCAACCGCCTTCACGGCGTACATTTGAGCCCCAGTTTTTTTTGCTGCAAACTATACTCGTTTTCACCTCAAGAAAAAAGGGCGCTTTGCGCATTGTTCATACGCCGGGCGAAGTAGCTCTTACGAGATTTGGTTGTCGGAGGAAGAAGCGATACTTTTGGTGTTTGAAACATATACGTCTTGATTAGATAACACATATCTGATCTAAAATGCACGTACATATATCTTAATTCTCCACATAAATGGGAAAATCAGTAATGCTCCGCGTGGAGACGGACTATTTTACTATGGTTCTTGAGGTGAAAACGGGTATAAGTCGGTTGAGGAGATCTTCCTCTTAACAACTAGGTAATCGCAGAACGCAGTCCATCGCACGAAACACAGAACTAGCACGGATGAAGTCCGAAGCGCACCTTTTGCACACGGCACTCCGGCGGTGACATCACGCTCCAGCAATTGAGCGTGAGCGGCGCGTGCTTGGTGACATAATTTTTTGTACATCGTTCGGGCGCAAGGACGCCGCTTTTTTGCATAATGGGAGAACTAAGGTTGTCCTAGAGTTCTCGGACGACCTCAAGGGCGACCTCAGAGACAGCGTTGTCTTTGAACATACGACTGAGTGGCGCGTGCCGCGCAATCGTGTTTTTATGACGATTACGTCGCTTTTTCGCTCAATAAGACAAGTAAGGCTTTCGTCTTAAAAAAAAAAAAAAATATGTCCCTACTAGGCACCTTAAAAAAAGTATTCTAGTTTTTCTGTAAGAGAAGAAAATGACACATAACGGGATTATTCTATTTTTACTATTTTATTATCTATTTTTAATATTTGTTTTTAAATTAAAGATTTTCGCAGAAATACGCAAACGCGTGCAAGTGTGGCGACAGTATCTGATTTGCGTACGACGATTTTATCGAAAATCGGAAAATCATTCGCAATCCAATAAAGCGTGCTAAACTCGAAGGTACCCAGGTCTGCTTGTAAAACTGATGGCAAGAACGAAAAACCCTATGTGGAGAGCAAGTCGTCTGCTTCTTTCGCAGTAGTTGTGGTGATGACAGAACGACGCCGAGTTCCGATAGGCTCTGACTGAAGGATAGTGAGTAGACCTCAAAGCAAGCTACCTCGAGGTCTGCCCACTATCCTTCATTCAGAACCAATCAGAGCTCGGCGTTCTGACGTCATCATAACCCCCGCAAAAGAACCAGACGAACTTGCGCTCCGTATTGTGTCCTGGTCCTTTTGCGTTTCTTCTTTCTGTAATTATTCGCCATCTTCATAAGAGTGGTAGCCGCAAATATAACAAACAGTCAGTATAAAAGCGCTGCACCGCAGGCAGTATACTTCAGCGACTTCTCGGTCCTTTTTTGACCACCGTTAGCATGCCAAACTGCTCAGTGACCACGGAAGCGCTCACATTACTGACCGCCATGCTTCTTAGCTTAAGTAACATCGCAATAAACCGGTTCAACTCTAAATAACAACATTATTTTCATAGCTTTTCTGCATTAGCCTGGATATCTAAGATTATGTAAAAATACGATACTTATACCTTTATTTTTAGAGGAACTATTTTCTCAAATGGTACTTTCATAAACTAAAATCCTCTCATACAACGCTTAAATTGCAGGGAGCCGGAATAGCTACAATACTGATGGTCGCGTTTCAGCTGTGGCACATGTTCGTGAAGCTGAGTTACCATGTTCAGCCTCCGAGGATGCCCGTCAGCCTCGACAATTGTCCAGGGAACTTCAGTGCCCACGCTGCAGCTGGCAACGCAACATCGGCTTTAGTTCCTAAAATGTGAGAATTGGCAGCCGCCCCGCCTCTGCTTTCATGTGACGCCGATGCATATTACTTTCTAAATGTTTTTCTAGCCTATGGAAAAGACTATTGAAGGCTACTTTTCGATAAGCGATGAGGCCTGTATTTTCTTAAGCTTCTAATATGGGTATATCTGAGTGATGTCCAAGGAGCCAGCCCAATGGCAGTTGGGGGCAGAGGACAAAAGATGACGATGTGAAGACGTTCTTCGACCAGTGCGTTTGTCGCCATGTTGGCGTTGTGTTCCGATAATATACGGAATTATTAAGTAAACAATCTGCTTAAGAAAAATTCACTAGTTAAGCCCACTTAAGTGCACATGGTTACAGGGTAAAAGTTCGGGGAAAGCCACTCCCTCCACTTTTTTAGTTTAGCAGAGCAAACTTTGGAGAACAAGCCGCCTCCTCTCCAGCGTTCGCTCTGCTAAAGTGGACTATAGGTGACGAGACAGTTCTTGGTTTGTTCTAAGATAATTTTTATGATGATTTGTCCTATGCATAACCTTTTTTGTGTGTCCCTCTTTCAGTTTGGTAGCACATCACCTTCATGAAGGCGCCTTGGAAGATTTTAATACAATAACTCAGGGCTTTACACGTAATAGTAGAAGTAGTTGCAAGGAGTGGGAGTAGTAGTAGTAGTACGAGGAGGAGGAGGGGTGCTCTGCCAGTTCAGCCTCTGTGTGTTCATGTATTCCCTAAGCGACTAACTCAGTCAAGTAGTTTTTTTTTTTTTTTTTGGCGCGGTTACCATAACGTCCCTAAACATTCTTCTTTCCACCGGGATCACGATCAAACTGTTTTACTCGCGGGCAGACCATGCCTGTCTTATGCCTAAAGCAACTATTTTAAAAACGTTTAATGTCGTAGTACTTTTGTTAAAAAAGGGTTATAAGAACGTTCATTCATACAAGTAATACCACAAAAAAATAATTACATTTTAAGACAGCGGAATCAACCGTCTTGTTTATTGAAATAAACGAATGTCACCTGATCGACCGGGCGACCGCGTTCGCTCAAATGAACATTGTCATTCTATGAAACATCATGGACGAGTTTTCGCTCGCCAAAGCGTTGTTCACTCAAGTGAGTGCCTTCCCTCCAAAATATTCGGAGTTTTCATATGAGTCTGTCTTCTCTCTCTATAAAATGTTTCGGGAATAGAAAGGGCACATCCAATGGAAGGATTGGACCGAGAGTCACTAAGTTTTAGCTCGCCAGTCGCACACAGCGCAAAAACAAATGCTCGTGCCCACCGACGTTCGACTAGCTGTTTTGTTAGCTTTCCGTTGTTGACATGAGAATGGCGTCCACAGCATTTATTGTCTTTAAAAAAATCACTGCCACAGATACTTCTGCCCAGAGCAGAGCTGGCACCGTGAGCCTTAGCTTGGTAAATGTCTGCATCTATGGTTTTATTAAAGCCAATAGGAGCATCGAAGCGAAATAGGTGACGGCTTTCCACGCGAGTTTCTGATTCGCTGAAACGTTGTCACATGTCTTTTCCGGCTATTTTATTGGCCCACCAGCCCTGTATGGTCCAATGTTTGCCAGGTTAAGCTGAAATGGAGCGCAGCAAAGGAAGCATATGCCGGCGCCTCCGTTCACTGCGGCGTCGTCCCAGCCGTCCCGTCGTCCGGAACACAAACCCTCCACCAGCTCCGCTTGCCAATGCTCTCGTTTTCGCTACGCCGCTCCTTTTCCCGGCTGCTTTCGCAAATAAACTAAGCAAAGTGGAGACGGTGTAATGTCTGCAAATGCCAATCGATGACCTTTCGAGATCACTGTTAATGTTCCGCTGTAGTCATCATCATTATTTTCTTCCCTTGGGTGCCCGTGGGGCATTATACAAGAGAATGTCAATAAAACAAAAAACAGAACAGTGAATACAAAGATAACACGCTAAGCTAGTTAGCTAGGTTAGATAATAAGTGGGTAGTATATTCAACAAATTTAGTAGTATTGATTATAGAAACGATGTTGAGAGATTGTGAGTTCTACTCCTCGATGGCCAAAGGAAGTGTGGAAGTCCTGCGAGAAACATTTGATGATTGAATGGTACGTAGTTTACATAAGTGACCTAAGCGAAGAAAAATACGGTGGGGTGGTGATAGTAACGATTCTCTGGGGTGGATATCGTGATGAAAAATTTATAAAGGCGAGAGAGACGCTACACTCGTTATTGTTAAAAAAATGATGAACCGATATAATATATCCGTTAAGGATTAATACATTTCGGTTACGGTTATGGTTGATATCGAATTGGAAAATCGGTTTGTTCCGGTCACGGTTACCGAAAATATTTTGACTTAAACAGTTTTCGGTTGGGGTTCGGGTTACGGTTTTAGTTCCAGCTTGTAAGAGCGGCGTAATTATTAAAAAGAAAGGCGTATGTATTGTGTAGCACCCGGATGACTGCCTTAAGAGGGAACTCAAAACGGAATAGCTTTCACAAGTACGATCAGCTAAACTTCAAACTCCAAGAGGAAAACGGACAGTCACGTATTTCTTAACGACTCCTTGCTTTGAAAGGTGCCCTTCTCTTATGTGAGTGCCGAACTTAACAGAGTATATTCTTTTCCCTCTACCCCTCTCCTTAAAAATGGTGCGCGAATGCTAAGGGAAAATTGTAACTTCGCTAAGCAGTATCTTGTGTTTTTCATATAAAAAATTGTGTTCAACTTGCTAGTACATGCTCATTCTTCCATACCCCTTCTCTTATGAGGGCACTATATTGCATGAATAATAATGAACATTGTCCTTGCAATCTAGTAGGTACGGCAGATAATTTGCCGGTTTCTTTGTTCTTATGAGAATCTTTCTTTTTTTCGCTTGTAGCTCTTACGACGTTTTCGGACTTTCACAGCTGTCATCATACTGGAGCAACTTGTTCAGCTCAATTGTGACCATTTTGTTAGGACTCGCAATCAGTGCGTGCACAGGTAAGAGAGCGTAGGAAAGTTTAGCTGTCCATGCAACTTCCTGTTTGTTTTTTCGGTATGTAAAACGTATTTATATATCTTGCGTTGCTAATGATATAAAATAAATATTTACGATCATTGATTGCGGTGTCCATAAGCAACCAAACGTTTTCTTTATAAAATGCAGGTATAATTCGGAAGCATCTCAAATTAACAATTACAATACGCCATAGCTCCACCAATAAACCGCGGGAAGAAACTACGCAGAAGCCTATCAAGTTGCTTAGCAAAATGACATGTTCTTTCTATATACCAATTCATAAGATATTGAAAAGGCTTGGGCCTGTTATCATTTTTGTCTTCACTAATGTTTTCTACGATTGCGAAACTTAGTGCACCTAACAAACACGACACCAGGTTGTGCACACCTGACAGGAAAATAGACGAGAAGCAAGCGTTTTACAATACGTGGCTTAAAGTTCCTTCAATTAACAACGTGTTATATCTGGGCTTCAAAAATTAAAATATTTTTGCATGTTCACTTTTTAGTGAAATTAACGATTCGAAATTGCGTTTTGTTTTCATTCAAGGTACTTCAAAAAGTTACAAACATCGACTTCACATGTCCAGTAATATGTTTGTGAAACTCTGGTGGAAGATGAACCTCATTCAGCGTGATACCGACATTGTAAGTTTCGTTTTGCCTTTTGGCGCAATTTACGCAGGTAAAATACTCTGCAGGAGATTATATAACTTAAATGTCATCTTTATATAATTAGAAAAAAGATAATTACTGAAATATTAAGAAAAACACATAGCTGCTTAAATTAGCGTTTTATTGACAATACCCTATTTCATTTAGGTTTAGCTAGCAATAACAATCGCAACAAACGATAGGCTTTACGATAAGTTTATACGTTTAATACAAAAATGTCTTATTTTTTCTCAAAAACATATTAACAGCAGAAGTCACGCTAGCAAATGATATAATTTAAAGAGCAATTTCAAGGTTACGCGGTCTTTGAGACTGTAAGCCTTTACCATTAACACCATAGCAACACCAGATTTAAAAAAAAAATATTCTGATAAGTTATTTTATTATGTTCGTGTTTCTTTTCTTCTCAGACGAATACTCCATTTATTGTGGATCTGACGAAGCCAAAGACTTTCTCTCCGGAAGAAGAGAGCATGCTGCAGCAAGTCAAAGAGACAAATATCTGATTGGTCTGATGGAACATTTTGTTGCGCAAGGAGTTGAGGCTATTTCTAAAAGTAATTATAAATGTACGTGTGAATGACATTCGAGGTCTTCTGCCTTACTGCTTGTTTAATCCGAAAGCTTAATTGAGCCTGACGCTTGTTGCTGAACATAAAGATGTGTCAGCGACACATCTCCCATGTACTCTTGTTCTGCAAAAGGTGTTTTTTTTTCAGGCGTCATGCAAATTTTCAGTCTTGTCCACAGTCAGGCCGCGTCTCCACAAACACTATACGGTGGTTTCATGTAACGTACTGCCGGCTCAAAGTCTTCCCGGACGCCATGTTCATGAACTACGACGTATGTCCCCTGGGGAAATCTGGTTTTGTTTCGCTGGCTATTTCACCGATTGGGCGCAGTTCGTCGCGCAACTCCTAAAAAAGTTCGCACCCATTGACTTAAAAAAAAAATATTCAAGGAGAAATTCCGCCGTCACAGCCGAGAACTCCGTACTTTGTGGGAACTAACCCAAGACACGGAAGACGGAGAAACACATGATGTGGCACGGCATGCATTTGCGAAAGAGCTAACTGGACGCCTGCAGCAAGCAGTGGAGTTTATAAAAAGGCATCAGCAAGCGGTCACGAAAGCGCAGAAGGCATAGTATAACAAACGTCGGCGGCTCACAGCTCTCAAGGTGGGCAGCCTTTGTCTTTCAAGACATTCACACGCCGAGGTACGTGAGCAAGGACATATCGGCAAAACTGGCTAGTAGACGTGAGCGACCCTTCCGTGTACTGCTCCGCGTTGGGGACCACGACATTATTCTAAGCGACGTAGCTTTAGGACGTCGCCGAGGAACGGCCCACACCGACCGTAGTTTTCACTTTACCGTGAACCATGGGCACATTCAACACCAGCCAGTGCTTCGCATCTGAACCGGGAAGCAGTGGAGAGTGTTGCCAGAGAGAAGATGTAGAAGAAACGGAGAAGTGCGAAGAAACTGTAGTAAGGGCTCGCACGGAGTCGGTTTTCTTCAAATAAGAAAGATGTTTGTTGGGAATATCCATGAGTAAGGTCAGGGATAGTGCGAAGTACATGGCGTGGGAGAGCACGCCGGACGTAATTTGGTGGTCCTTCATGCCTGGGGAAACAGATAGAAGCTGAGGTAATAAAGCTCAGGGCGGCCTCCAACGAGGTGCACATTCTAATGTGCACCATCACAGAGGTTGAGAGGCAATCTTTTGAAATGAAGCGGAGTATTAGTATCTTGGAGTCGAGTAGGATGATCAGGCGGCAGGCAGATAGACTGGGCTACGAGGTAACGCAGGTAAAAAAAAGAAGTGTGGTAGAGTCGACCATCGGGGGGCCGGCATTCGGTCTGGGAGGGATTCGCCATAAGAAAAACACGGGGTGGCGGATCGGGACTAGAATGGGTTTTTGGGGGGCCCGCCAAAACTTTGCTTAGGCGAAAGCCAAGATTTTGAAGGATCGGGAGGGGAGTGGAGGGGAGGGTGGACAAAAGAAAGCCACGCAGAACTAAAAAAGGAAAAGAAAACAACTTAACCTAGGCATTGTAACCATGTAGGGAGGTAGAGGCAGGCTAAAGCGGAAGCAAGTTGGAGAACACTTAGAGGCAGAAAAGTTTACAGTGTATGGGCTAGCAGAAACACACCTTCGAGATGAGGAGATACCGCCGTACATACCAGGCTACATTTGGAGAAGTTGCAACCTGAGGGGAGGAGGAAGGAAATGCCGAGGTCTAGGGAGGTTGACCAAGTGACAAAACTGGGAGAGAGTGGAGGAAAGCCGCAGTGAAGATGTGTGGCTGAAAAGTGGAGTAGGAGGTCTGAACACTTTTTTCGGAATTGCCAATCTAAAAACAGGAAATGACTCGAGGAACGGAAAGAGAGAACAATTAGTATGTATCTCGATCGAGGGGCCTCAGATAAATAGGCCTTAATCAAAAAATAATTATCATGGGCGACATGAACGTACACTTAGAATATTATTACGGGTTCACGGCTGCAATAGGAAAGAAGTTAGAAGAGTCCTACGATGCCCTGGATGTACTTTTAGTTAATGCCCAAGTCCAATGCGATGCCAAGATGACATGGGAAAGGAATAACTCCCACTAGACAATTCACTACATCCTAATGTTTCACAAACTGCGCAACAGATTAGGAGGCATGAAAATAGATAAGGAACGTACAAGAAGTACTGAAAGTGACCACAAGAGAATTCAGGATTAGTTGTGGCACATCCCAACCCGAACAACAAACTCAGGAACGGGAACGTAAATCAAGCTTAAATGAAACTCAGCTACAGGAACTATCCAAAATTATTGAGAGCAACCAGAGAGGAAATGGATGGATGCGGATTTAGTAAGCATATTTAGGGGTATTTAGAAATATCGAATTAAAGAGGAAAGCGAAAACGAATGCACAAACCAAAAAGCTTTTGGCATAAGGAGGTTAAGGCATCCAAAAGACGAAGCCAAGAGACTTAAAAAAAAAAGGGTGGCTTTTTTCAACGGAAGTAGCGAGAAAGTGGGAGAACTACCAGAAGAGAAAAGGAAGGCACCAGATTTAATACAGGCCAAATTTGGTAGTGTGTGCGTACGGTGGATGAGGTACATAAATTATAGAGATTGGAATGTGGAAAAATGTTTTTTTTTTTCTTTTATTGGGGGGGGGGGGGGGAGTCTATTAAAGCGCAAGAAAGAAATACAAAAAGGGTGCTAGCACTAACTGACCACACAGGAGGGAATAAAGGTAAAAAATGAAAGGCACTAGAATGTATTACGCAGAAAATTTAAAAGGCTTTTTTTAGCACTGGAGAAAAGGGAGACAATGGAGAAGGATCACAGCACCGGGGGTAAATGAAGAGCAGACTGCTCTAAAGATGGAGGTGACCACAAAAAAAAAAGTGCCAAGGCAGAGAGTAAGGTTCCAGCTGGTACCGCGACAGGCCCGGATAAAATACACATGCCACTCATAAAGACCCTGTAGAAGACAAGCATACTGGGCTTACAACATATGATTAGCCCAATAATTATTGGAGGAGACGCACCCCACGATTGGAAACTAAGAAAATTAGACAATTATAGTATGAAGGCAAAGAAAACAAACACAACGTGAAGTCACACACCCCGATAACAGTAATATCAGTTTTATACATATGCGCTATGCAGACAGTAAAGTGAAGAATGGAGGAATGGGCAGAAGGAATGAAAATTCTGGCCGAGCTTTAAAATAGGTTCTGAAGAGAGAAGTCTAGAATATAACCTATACGTCATCACTCAGTGTACAGATAGCAAAGAAGAGTAGACCCCAGTGGTTAGCATATTTGGACATCAGGAAAGCGTACGATAATGTGAACCAGGAAAAAACTTTGGGGTCAGCTAAAGGATATAACTTAGATGCCAATTAGATTAGATTGTTGCAGAAGGTGTGGACTGACAATAAGGTAGTTATAACATTGGAAGCAGAAACTACACATCCAGCAGTAATAACAAGAGTGCTAAGACAAGGTTATCAGTATAGCCCCTGCACTTCATTATATACATAAGTGAAATGGAAAAGAAATTAGAGCAGAGCAGTTTAGCTTTTGATGTGAGTTATATTAAAAGAGGGATAAATGTAATACAAGTAATCTCACGACCAATGTCGTGAGATTAGACGACATCGTACTCATGGCAGATGGCCGCAATACATTATAGGAACTAACTGAAATTTGTGCAGAGGAAGGAGCAGCATGGGTTTGAGCTTTAGTAGTATCAAGCCGGGAATAAATGTGTTCAACGACAAAAAGAGGGAACGCCTAAAAATAGAAGAAAGTTAAATAGAACATGTATAAAATACAAATATCTGGAAGTGTGGCTTAATGACGGAAGGAAATATCTAGAGGAACATCAAGAAAATAATTAGAAAGTTAAAAAAAACTGCTATTATGAAACTGAAGGCACTATGGAATCATAATAGATACGAAGTGGTTAGGGGAGTATGGAAGGAAGTAATGCTGCCAGAACTGTGTTTCAGCAATAGAGTACCATATATGAGATTACAGGTTCAATCAGGACCGGAAATTTGACAAAGGAGAGTGGGCAGGTTAGCACCGGGAACATATGGGAACACACCAAATGAGGGAGTGTAGGCGGACATGGGATGCTTATCATTTTGGAGCAAAGAGGCACTTAGTAAATTGGCATTTGAAGTAGGTTAACCGAAATGGGCGATACCTGCCGGGCACGGAAAGTATTCAAGTATTTATACATAAAATGTTTAAACACTAGATGGAAAACCCGAAATCTGACATTTAAATACCTGCGTAATAGTGATGGTGCTGACCAGACTAGTTCAGTGAAAAAGGAAGTGAAATAGGCAGAAAGAAAAAAGCGGCGAAAAAGAATGCAAAAAAGTCAGCTGTAACGATGCACAGGTCACAAAGACAGGTCATAAGAAAAGAAAAAGTGTTTGATAATTCACGTCGATGCTCTTTGCTGTTCGAGGCGAAAGGGAGTGATTTGGACAAAGAAGTATAGGACTGTATTTTAAGATATGCACATTATATGCCGTATGCCGCAGAGAGAGTGAGGCGCTAGAACATTCGGTTTTGAAGTGCGTGGGGCTTTTTGCCATGCCCTACTTAAAGGGGTAACGGATCTGAGGAGGGGGGGGGGGGGGGGGGGGCTCTGGGTTTTGCGGGCGAGGATAGAAGAATGAAGAAAAATCGGTTACGGTCACAAAGAGAATGTTAGAAGAAAGGTGGAAATTATCCAGGGAAAATTGAATGAAGTAGAATTATCTAGGTAAGCAAGGGACAAGCGGGACAGGGTGAACATTTGTACTCACTCCCGCGCGGCTACGGCACAAAGTCTAAACCCTGTCTCCCAGTGCGTCCGGTTTTGTGGAGGCTTAAAGGGGCACTGACACATCAAAATCATTTTTTTTTTATTATTATCCGAAACGATTGAAAACGATGCCGGGACATTACCTTCAAAATTTGAAACTTGGGAATTCAGTATTTCTGAATTTAAAAAACAATTTCCAAATACCGAATTTGAAGTTCCCGCGTGATCCGCGCCAGTGCAGTGACTCA